GACGGATGACATTGCCACTCGACCGAATCCCTCGACCGACTGACCAACACAAGACCCGGTCACCACTCAGTCGATCGCCTTAGTAGGCCAAATTCAGGCAAATCGACTAGAAACTTACTGTCGTATTAAATTCAAATTGTAATACAGATATAATATTAAATCTATAATATTGATTCGACCATCAAATTAATTAATGACAATTTTCATAACTAATCAATCATTTTTATAATTGTACAAAACACGTCTCTATAAACAGGAGACAAAAATACGAATAAAAAGAGCTTTCTCGGGTTTCTCTCTACAGTGAATTCTAGGTTTATCCTAATCTCGCTTCCTCCTACTCTCGTTTCTAACTCTTGAGGCGTGTTCGCAAATGACAATTTATGATTCAACAACCAAAAGGCGGTGCGGTGAGCGTGGACATGTCATAAATGAGAAGTGGAAAATACTATGAAGAAGAAACTTCCCAAAGAAAGATAGCACACATTGAGCCTAATAGAGATGCTCATCAACCAGCAAGGTCCAAGGCTTACAAGCTCTAATGACTATCATGATGGTGCGATTCAAAGTCCTCCAGGGCAGTGATCACCTAAAGAATCAACCAGATGCCTCGTCTGGAAGCGGCACCTCATGAGACTCGGCCCCAAAGGCACTCAGCCCCAAAGGCCCCACCAGGGACCCGTCTACTCTGGACGAACAGGTCAGCAACCTGTGGAAGGAGGGATAGGGTGAGTCCAAGCACACTGACACTGTCGTGCCCGCACAAGTGAACAGACAACGGGAAAAGAGGATACAAATACATGTTTGATCGCTCGGTGGTTCAATGATCTGCCGACCAAAACCATCCCAAATTACAACTAGTTTAAAAATCGCTTCATTTCACACTTCTCAAACTTAAAGAAGTCAAGAAAGGTCTCAGACACCCTACTTGACCTCAAACATGGAGAAAATAAGAGCCAACGGGCCAACATCACTCGTTTCCATAATGAGATGCGGGAAGTTAGAGATCTGAAACCTGATATAGTCTGAACATGTTTTAAACAAGGAGTTTGAAGCAAATTTTATTTGAGCGTCGATGGGAACCTTTGATCACGACCAATTGGCTGACCAACTTTACTACAACGAATGAGATCATCACTAGACTGGATGCCTCAACCAACTGACACAAGACACGGTCACCATTCAACCGATCATCTCAGTCGGCTGAATTCAGGCAAATCGACCAAAAAATTACCATCATATTTGAATCAAATTGTAATTCATATATAGTATGAAATATATACGATTGATTTTGTTATCAAATGAATCGAGATCAGTTTCCATAATTGTTCCCTCATTTTTGTAATTGTACAAAACATGCCTCCAAAAGTATGGGCAAAAATACAAATAAAAGGTGTTTTCTCATTTTTCTCTCGATAATGAATTCTGGGATTATCCTACTCTCTCTTACGCCTTCGCTCGTCTCTAACACTTAGGGCATGTTAGCAAATGACAATTAACATTTCAAGATCCTAAAAGGTGGTGCGGTGAGCGTAGATGTGCCACATACGTGAAGAGGAAAAGACCACGATGGAGAAACTTTCCAAAGATAGATTGGACACATGGATCTCAATTGAAATGTCGAGCAATTAGACGTCCATGCACAGGTCCAAGGCTAGAAGCCTAAATGACCCTCATGATGGAGCAATTTAAAGTCCTTCAGGCAGTGATCACTTATAGGAACAAGCAGACTCCTCGTATGGAAGTGAAACCCAATGAAACTCTCCTCCAAAGACCCTTAACAGAGAAATCATCTATTTCTGACAACCGGGTCCACAACCTGTGGATGGAGAGATAGGGTGAGTATCAACACACTGACAACATCATGTCTACACAAGAAAACATGCGATGGGAAGAGCAGATGCAAGTACCTGTCCGATTGCACACAGGAGGGGTCTTTATTTGTCAAATCAAATTGGTTGTAACCCCGCTCAAGCTGGGGATATCTCGCCTGGATTCTTATAAAGGAAGGACCAACCTGATCGACATTTAGCTTATTTCAAGTCATCGGTTGGTCTACTCCAGATCGACGATCTCATAATCTCCCATCTCTTCTTAGCCACCCTAAAAGAGATTACCCTTCAGTGGTTCAACGGTTTGCCGACCGAAACCATTCTCAATTACTATAAGTTTAAAAGACTCTTCACTTCACACATTTCAAACATTCAAAAGCCGAGAAAGGGCTCAGACAATCTACTCGACCTAAAATAGAGAGAAAATGAGAGCATGTGGGCCTACATCACCAGTTTCTAAAATGATATACTGGAAGTTTGAGATCTGAAAACTGATATAGTCAGAATAGCTCTAATAAAAGGAGTTCGAAGCAAGCAGTTTAGGTATAACCAAAACCTATTTAAACTTGCTATTTTTTAAGAGGTATTAGAGATGTCGAGCGAGCACATACTCATCGAGGAAGACCTCTAGGCTCCTCAAGTGGTAAGTTAGAGTCATTCGACCATCCCTTGAAGAGGATAAAGGAATGGGGCAGACCACAGAGGGTGAAGGACAATCAGTCCTCCATCAATCACCAAAATAATAACTCTCTCTCTTGAGATCAACGAGAAAATAACCAAGGTCATGACCGGATGCGACGCCCTTATCAAAGGCCAGCTCATTATCACGAGCAGCCACATGTTTTCCAGGAAATGCAGGATTTGACACCTATCAACATGTCAATGGTCGAATTAGTTTAGATCATTTAGAATAAATATGATTTCAAAACGACTTAAACATTGAAGGCGGCCCTGACCTTACAAGATCCAAAGAGGTACTGCAGGTACCACCACAACCACGATAACGACACAGAGAAATATTGTTACCTCTAGAACATGATTGAGGAACTCATCCTTGCTAGAAAACTCAAATAATTTATTTTCGTTGGCACACATACACAACAATAGGGTACAACTCTAGTGGGAGAACCCTCAAACGGACCTGTCTAAGTGAATGAGCTCCACGTTGCAGGGCTAATCCCACCCATCTTTGGGGGAGGGCCCCAACCCTCTGATCTGAAGAGACATATCTTGGGAGAAGCATGTTACGTATTCTCATACATATGTAACAAATTTTCAATTTCTTTTTCTAGATGAAGATATCTCACTGAAGGGGAACCCATAAATTTGGTGATTGTCGTCACAAAACTGATCAACAATTAGCAGGTGGACAAGATTCTCATTGATTCAATGAGTTCTGTGAACATCATGTTCAAAATGGTGTTCGATAGAATCAGCCTGAAGACCGACCAACTGACAGCACCGACCACCTGTTGTTCAGATTCTCTGGGGAAAGAAAGGAGACGCTGGGTCTCATCAACCTAGTCATCTCTTGCAGATAACCAAGGAAACAATGTATAAATAAGGAGGATTTTCTTGTGGTAGAATATCCATTGACCTACAACATTATCTTTGGTCGGCCAATTCTGAATAACAATTAGGTGGTAACTTCTACCTATCACGCGTGCATAACATTTTTGTATGGCAGATAGGTGATTACGGTCCAGGGGAACTTAGAGTAGTCTAGAAGCTATTATTTATGAGTAGTTTTGAACGTTGACCATGAACCACTCAATATCTAGATTCCAAGGGAGGAGGGTCTTGAGACCAGTGAGACGATCCTCTGGGTACTAGTTTTCAATGACAAATTTGGTAAGATCTTCCTAATTAGTGAGCATTTGGATGCAGGACTCAGGGACCAACTGACACAAACACTTAGGGAGCACCGAGAATTGTTCTCTTGGGCCGCAGTAGAGATGCCCAACATTTCAATCGATGCAACATTCCATTGGCTGAACATCAACCCTTACGCTCGACCGGTCCAACAAAAAAATTTAGTTTTGATGGGCAAGAATGCCAACAAGAAGTGACGGGTGTGCGTCAATTTCACCAACCTCAACTTCACTTGTTTGAAAGAATTCTGCAGTAGTCTCCAAATTTGAGAGAAAGTTTTAATACATTTAATTACTGCAGCAGGGGCAGAACCAACTTCTTTTTTTAGGGGGGCAAACAAACCCTTAGATCTAAAGTGAGAGGGGTTAGAAAAAAAAATGACAAAGTGATATTTCAGGAGGAGTAAAATTAATGTTTACGGAGAAGTGAATGACATGGAGGATTCTATAGTTAATTACATGGGGGGGGGGGCAATTGACACCCCAATAACTTTACATAATTCTGCCTCTAATAAATAGAAATGTTAATATTCACTGATACATCCTTATCAAATTTATGACGAGATGTGTTTAGACTCCAAAGGAGGCATACTTGTTTTAATTATTGCAAATTTCTATTTGTAGGATGAAGTATTTTAACGTTAAGATTAATCTTTTATTTATGTTGCAAAAAATATGCGTGCGTGCGATTGCAACTTTATAAAACCTTTACCATCAAGCTTTTCAATAGATTAGGAGTTTATGATTATCAATAATTGATTTTTTTATGAATATATTAAGAGAGTAATATTTTATTAAGCGACTGAAAAATATTATAATTATACATAATTAAAATACATATGCATTAGAAAATCTCTTTCAAATAATATAAAAAAATAAATTCATAAATATAATATTCAACATGATATATTCTCACAATATTATTATTTATTTTGAAATCCTAATAAAATGCACTTGATGCATGTACTTACTCCAAAATTTAAGGATGATATAGGTTTCCTTATTTAAGATTGTATATATACCTGTATTCCAAATACGCATTTGGACCGGCCCAAATAGGCCATTGTGGTCCAGCTTTTTGAGAAGTCCAACTTAGAAGGCTAAGCCTGCTAAGGCCCATTAGGATTCGAAAATGAGCACTCTCCCCCACTTCCCGCTGCCCTGCTCTGACGTGGATCTGCCCTTCGTGCATGTCGCCTTGTCTATCGCCCCACGTTTCTAATCAGACGGTTAATATTGACTAATCATATAAACTAATAAGGCACCAAAAGTATCGGCTTTTTCTTCCAGAAAAAAAATCCTCATATAATTTTTCCCTCTCTTCTGCTGCTTCCGTTCCCTCTCCCCGCGCTTCAAAACCCTACCCTTCTCCCACTTCACCCGCTTCTCCCGCTTTCTATCTCTTCCTTACATGGCTGGCGCAGCTGACTCGACCTTCTCGATCGAGAATCCAAGCATTCATCAGCCACAGTCACCGCCTGCTCGGCCGGCTTCTTCCCAGATTCTCTGCCCTGGGTCAAAACAGCATTTACCCTTCCCGCCATCGTCATCCACCGCTTCAGCGGCTTTCGATCGACGTATCTTGACCGGTGTAACTGCATCCGTTGTAGATGAAAGTAGAGACGGAAAGGAGATGTTTCCGGCTCTGGAGCCATCCGTGAGTGCCTACTGCATTGCCATAGTTGATTTGTTCACTTATGTTTTCATGGATTATTCAATATTTTATTGTCATTGTGGGGATTGTCTAATATTGGTGATGCAGCGTTTTCGGGTCACATTATTAAGCGATATCGTGGTGTGATAAAGGTTATGTGTGTGTTCTTGCTGTGATTTTTGGAGTTTTTTAATCTGATGTGCAAGAAGGTGTGGACAGAGAGCTGCATTTTGACTGTGAGTGCTAGTTGCTTATTGTGGACTGAGGTCGGGATATCCACTTATTGATTGAGGGTCGAATCCGTGAGATGATAATTCGTAGTTCTATGCTGCAGCTCTGATTTGTTGGTTGTGATTGAATTTTTTGGTTGGTATTTCGGTGGATCTTTGTGGACGAGAGTCTCGAGACTTTTAGTATTGGTAAACAAAGAAGGCTTTATAGGCTGGGACTTGTGGAGTTTGGTGTTAGAAAATAGACCATATTTTAATGTTGAAGAAGAAAGCTGAAATCTACATGTGTCATACCAACTCGGTAAAAAATTCTGATCTTATTGTAAATTCTTTATCAAGCTATTAAATTATAACCGTGGAGGCTTTTGGTTACATAATTACAAAGCTTCTCTTTTCTAATGGATTTGTTGAAATAAGGGCATCAAGGAAATCCTGAATTTAAAATTATTCTAGATGATTGTGTAAGTTTTATTGCTGTAGATTCTGTGATAGGACGTTTAACTTCGCTGACTTTGGTTTTGGTGTAAATGTATATAACATGGTACTTCACTAGAAATTGTTTCTTTGTGGCAAAAATGGTGAGACTGGTTTGTCCGCATTCCTTAATTAATGGGAAGTTGCATTAATTGAACTGTCATATTTCTAAAAGATAGAGCCTTGTATTAAAAAATGGATGATAGCTTTTGTGTCTTTTCTTTTCATTTTTAGATATATTTTGAAACCCTTGATATTCTTTCTGACACATATTTTGGTAAATTTAAGATTGATGCTAGTAATCTCTCTCTTTATAATCGGGCCTTATGATGTTTTCACTGGTTTTTGTGTCATGTTCATTGATCTTCCTGTCCTTAAAAAAAAAATTAAATTTATTTTTTTTTTTTTTTTTTTTTTTTGCGTTCTATCATGAAAAAACTCTTATAAGGTCCAACACTTTGTTCTTTTCTCAAGGGAGATATCTATTATTTTGAAGGCCTTTAAGTTTCCCTCCTCATTATACTTGTTGCTAGGATTGAAATTGGGTAATATCAGCGATTTAATATTTTTTTATGAAAAATCATAGTAAGGCTTATGTGAGAATTGTTTAAAGGTGAGGCATATGCCTCACCCCAATTGAAGGCACATCCTCAATTTTTTAGGCACGTCCAACTTTTTTAATAAATTCTAAAAATAATATTATTATACCCAACCTATTTGTCCTCATATATCAAATATTAGCTAATAAGGAAAAAAAATATATATATAAATTTATGCAATTGTAAGTTCTATCCATCAATATTGTTTTTATTCCAAAATTAAATTACTAGCGACTGAGATTGAGCATGATGGATGAATAAAAGAACATTGATATCGTTGAGTACGTAATGGGTGAGAGCAATTCATTATATCAATGATTCTATTGCAAACATATTGAGTGATGAGTGGGATTGAGACTCCTGAAATCATAAATTCTAATTTTGATGGATTGTTATATTCCTAATTAAGTTGAGGATGGCATGAGAGAGGGAGATATTTATGTTAAATTTCCTTTGGTTGTGTTATTATGTATATATAAAAATTTATGCAATTGAAAGTTCTATCAATCAATGTTTTTTTTATTTTAAAATTAAATTAGTATTGTATCAATTATTATTGATCATATATTACAATTTATGCAATTGAAAGTTCTATCCATCAATAATGTTTTTATTTTAAAATTAAATTAATATTTTTATTAATTATTATTGATTAAGAAAAATAAGATGATTGAGATTGAGCATGATGGAGGAATGAGAGAACATTGATATCATTGAGAACATAGTAGGTGGAAAGCAATTCATTATATCGATTATTCTTTTGGAAACCTATTGGGTGATGATTGAGATTGAAACGTTTGAGTTCATAAATTGTAATGTTGATGGCTTGTTATATTCCTAATTATGTTGAGGACGGTTTGAGAGAGAGAGAGATTTTATTGAATTTCTTTTGGTTGTTGTGTTATCATGTTTTAATATTTCGCTTTGGTATCTTAGGTTACTTTGATAATATGTTGTTTATATAATACATTTTATATCATGATTTGATATTAGAATGCTAATATGTTATTTCTTACTCTACACAATTTGTTACATTTGTTTTTGTGAGGATGTTATGTTAGTTTTTAATGTGTTAATATATTATAATGTAAAGATGTTATCTTTCATTTCAAATTTTGCAATTTGTACAATACCCATTCTTTTATGCAGTTTTTTGAACTTGAGGCCTATGATTCAATATGCCTTGAAGTTTGTGCCTTTTCCCACGGATGAAGAACTGCCCAATACTCAATTGCGCAATTTTAAATTCTTTTTTTTGCGGAAGAAATTATTTCTGCTGCTCTCATGGACCCTTGTTGGATCAATTATAGATGTTTGATAGGCACTAGAAGGTAAACAATGGCCTCTTGGTGTGTTTTTGGATGATGCTTAATTCCTATCTCATTTCCTTTCTAGTTGTTAGTGATGGATTGATTGTGGAAACTTTGGAGGGAGAGGAAAAAAGGCTAGATGGTTTAGGTTCCAATTGAAGGGAGAAACTTGTTTAATTTTTTTCTCGATCCAATGTTTATTTAAATTGACTTACATGATCCTTAAATACAAACCTTGCAAAAAAGAAACAGATCTATTAACTTGCCTTATTTTGAAGGATTCCACAAATCTATAAATTAAGTAACAAATGAGAACTTAATAAACTACCTAGTTTAAATGGATTCTATAAGCCCGTTAATAAGCAAACAAATGAAAAATTTCTCAGTTCAAAGTTACAACAGTCAAGACGCCTTTGCTCAAGGGTGCACTTAGGTTGGTGCCTCTTTTTTAAAAGGCTTTGATGGGGCGCGCCCTTGGGCAAGACGTGTGGTAAAACACCCTTATCTTGGAGGGGCATGATCCTCAAGGAGCTTACCTAATTCCATCGTAGTAGTCTCTCTCGCAGCTTGTCGGAGCTAAAAAAAAGTTGGGGGAGTTGCCCGTAGGAAGCTGTCGGTCACCGGAATCGAAATCCCGTCGCCCGCTTCGGAATGACGTTTAATTTACATATAAATTTAAGTTTAGAAAAATATGAAAATCAAACTAACCCCATATTTTTCATAGTTTAAATGAAAGAACACTTTACCTCAAATCCTGCATCAATCCCGAAGGATAAACACAAGACTTGAGGGTGAGACTCGATCAAATAAATCAAGAAAGATATGACATCCGTTTGGTATGCGAAACCGTTTTATTTGCCGATAAATTCTCTTATTTAATATGAAAAATTAAATAGGGTTTATTTTAAGCTGGGTTCAGAAAAATTTTCTATAAGGGCAAACCTCTATAGTTAATTACATCTTAGACAACCGTAGTTTCTTAAGAATAATCTCGATAAAAATCAGGAAAAATTATTTTCAAGGAGGTCAAAAGAATGTTCAACGAAATCGGACAAAGAAATGTGCAAAGGAGAATGATTCAAACTTGGAATATTTGTTGTAGAATCCAAAGGAGGAAAAATTAGGGGATGTCACAGTTCCGAAAGAAAACCTCGGTGACTTCCCAGTCTACCATATGGGTTGGCTTCAGTTTTAAGGAGAAATTATTCAAGTGTTTCATCCTGTCAATTTTATTTAATTAGGGCTTACATTCGTATGAAACGATCACACAAACAACATGGAAGATATGAGGATTTAGCTCCTGACGAACGACAACATCAGAATCCTAAAACAAGTTAGGACTTAGGGCCCGTTTGGGGCAGCTTAAAAGTGTGACTGTGTTTTGAAAACGCCGCCTCACTGTTTGTTTATAGCATTGGAGCGGAGTTTCGCGAAACAGTGTTTTTTATTTTGTATTACACGCGGACTACGGGTGTATCCCCGTGATCCGCGTTCGACCTCCAACTTTTTACTCGTTTGCCCTCGCAAAATAGTCCGTGACCTCCCTAACCTTTCTTCAAACTCTTGCGTCGATCCTGCTCCGTCAATATCCGAATTCGCTCGAGCTCCCGGCGCAAGTGCCGCAAGACCCATTTTACGGCGCCATCCAGTGTGCGGCGAAAGCTCATGAGCGCTCCCCTGTCTTTGGATCTTCGCGGGAAGCACAACGTGCGGTCGATGCCGGTGAGGAAAGACAACGGATCCACTGTTAACGCTGGCATCGACCCTTCCAATGTTGTTATCACCAAGCTCAAGCTCGATAAGGACCGGAAGTCTCTCCTCGACTGTAAAGCTCGCGGGCCCTCCACTGACAAGGCCAAGGGTAAGTTCTCCGTTGAGGAGGTGGTCGCCGGCTCTGCACACTCCCTCCAGAAGGTTGATTGATATCTCCCAAATGTAACAGACCTTCAGTGATATTCTATTACGTTTTTGTATCAGTTTTACTTCCACTTCAGCAAAGTTGGATTAAAAAACTTTTAATTTTTGCTCCCTAAAATTTATAAATTTTTATTTTGCTGTTGTTATTTCAAGTCCTTCGATTGTGGATTTTGTGCATGGGTACAATGTTATGAATTTCTCTTACTATATAAATCTTTGGAATTTAACCGAAGTTGTGATGTCAGTTTCATCTGGGCCATAATTTCACAATTTTCGTTCCACTTTTCAATATTGATGCTTATAATAGAGGAAGTGGTTTTTGTTGCTCTCATGGTGTTCATTGTTTGTCCTCTGTGAGTTCATAGAACAATTTATTTTTTATTTTTGGAACGATGAAACTTTTATTTTACTTAGAATAAAAAAATTGGGAGCATGGAATCATGAGCTTGGATGTATAACCTTCTGAAGTTCCAGGTGCCATGTTATGAAAAACTGGAATGATATTTTGTTTCTTGGGATAATAGGAGCTGGTTTGTTGATGATCTATATATGGGATCTAGCGGAATCACAATTACATGAAATGGGTACTTCGTAAATTAGTGCTTGAAGCTATTGGTAATGGATATTTCTTCAATAAATTCAGACTCAATCTTTTTTGAGTTTTAATTTGTCATTTATATTTAGACCTATTTCTTTCTATTTGGTATCCAACCACACTTTTTGTTCTGCTATATGATGATTTGACAATAAATTGTTTCTCATTATCTTTCGTATTTGAAATTTATTTGAACTAATGAGGTTTTTGGTCTGACGACCAATGTAAAATGGAACTAAGAGCATTATTCTAATGTTTATAACTTTTATATTGAATTAGTTGAGAAATTTACAGACATACTTTTGTACTTTTGCGTGCAAGTTTTTTCATTTAACTAAAAAAATCTGCAAAACAGCTATTCATAAAACGCACAAACCAAACAACTAAACAACTTATCCAGAACAGGGGCAGATCGGTCATCTATCCAGAATCAGTTGTTTTTCAAACGCACAAACCAAACTGTCAGTCAGCTTATCCAGATCAACAGATCAACTGGTCATCAGCCCAGATCAACTGGTCATCAGCAGATTATCAACATAAGCTGCTTATCAGCATAAGCTGGATAAACTGCGGCTGCCCCAAACAGACCCTTAGATTGCACAGTAGAACTGTACAAATGTATAACGAAAAATTGAGGATTTGTGTTGCACTAGACAAACAATCTCGAAATCTTATGAATTGTCTTTTAATTCTAAGGAAGGAATGATTTAGCTTGGGAAGACGTGTTTTGTTGTTGAAGATGATCGTGCTGCCCACCGCGCTAGCTTCAAGTTCTTTGTCGTGACAAGTTTAAGTTTTCTAGGGTGTCAGGTTATGATGTCAAATCAAACGGTCCTATGGTTGTAGTTCTTTAAACATTTTAGGGGAACATGTTGAAGTTGTATTGTGTATAGAATGACAGTAGAGTATGTAACACATGACAAACAGTAGAGTATACAGTAAAGAGAACAGTACAACATGCGGTGTAAAGAAAAAGTAGACGGTACAATAGGAAAGTGATTACAAGAAAGTAATATGCTGTAAACATAAAACAAACCTGCATATCTGGGGGATTCGCTGTTCCTTAGGTGTAGTTGATGCAACAGGTACAAATAAAACAGACTGAAATGCATCATATAAACGAAAGCAATAGAAGAAAAGAAACGTCACCCGAAAAACTCGAGAAAGAACGGTAAATGACCCACGATGGAAAATTCGGGAAAAATCAACGAATAATCCATGACGAAAAGCTCGAGAAAATTGACGAGTAACAATTCAAATAAAATCCTCAAAACCTCGGGAAAATCCCGGAGAAAAGACCACGAGTGATTTGTCAAAAAATTTCAATAAAACATATGAAAAAGTCCGAAAAGTGGGGACCGCAAGCACTCGGGTCGGGGCTAGGGTTAGATATATGTTTGTACTCGAGGGTCGTCGAAGGCTACTTGGTCACCCGGATGTATAAAATCCGCCGCTCAATTAAGAAGGTGTTATGTCGAACCTAACTTAGGAGGGTACTCCTTAGCCCAAACAGGTAATCAATAGGTGGATAACTAATGTTTAAAATGTATTTAAAATTTATATTTTTAGCATGCAACATAGATTTCAGACATAGGTTTCAGACATACAAAAGATGGTTGTATCAATTTTGTTTGTAGCGAAAAATATATTTTTGTTTAGAAAAAGGTGTATCTGTTCTTGTCGAATTTGTTTTACATTAATTTTGAAAAGTGTAGTTGTCCACGAGTCGATCACGCTGTCGGGCGTAGGACCGCCAACAACCTAAGAATGTACGGGTCAACTGCCGCTAGTCTTATGTCGGTCAATGATATAACATTCTACGGTTCACCGGGTCCGGGGGGTGTCCCGAAGTCGTAGGATGAGACATCATTCTGCTCTATCACTGGTGTGCCTTTGTCATTACCGCCCTAAGTCCTAAAACAAAACCGAACTACTTTCGACATTGTTTGATGATTTCACGTATAACAAAAAACTATACGTGGACGCTTATGCATCAGACATAAGCATCGAAAACCGAATTAAGAAGCAAGAAAAAAAGAAAAAAATGAGGTGAGAGAGAGAGGAGGCACTGATCGACCTAAAATATCGAAAAGAAAGAGGATGAATCAGCCCTCAAAACTCATGACGAAAAGACCTGAAAAAGGAGGCCCCAAGATCCTTGAATCAATCCAAAAGGATATCACTTTTTCATTTGGAGGGTATCTCTTCCCAATCTTGTCTCGGGCGAATCGAAACGGGCCCAAGTCAATGTGGCAACTTTATACATGTCTTTGACTACCCATCCGCACACACCCAAGCCTGCGCTCGAATGATATCACAACTACAATGTCAAACTCCCGAAACCTCATTTATAAATTCAATTTATATCAACAATATGCTCTCTCGAAATAAAATTTCAAAGTCTTTCAAACTTTACAACTCGAACAAAAGGAAAGTAACCCAGGGACGGCAGCTACTTATCCTTCCAAAATCATGCCAACATTAAAGCCATCCAATTCCAGACTTAATTAAAAGCTCCTTATATCAAATAAGCATGAAATCATCCGGCTAAAACCACATAAATGCTCACGGGCAGGCTCAACAAAGAGATGAACAACAGTTAAGGCTCTCAGCCAAAGCAACCCACAAGGAAGGCAACTACTAAGGCTCACAGTTTAGGCGATCAAGGAAAGGAGGGGAGCTGCTAAGGCTCACGGCTCAGGGCAGTGAGGAGCGGCTGCTAAAGCTCACGACCAAGGTAAGAAACAGGGCCAAAAGAGGCTCACGACCAAGGCAACCCAAATCAATTACATGAGGACCTTTGATATACATAAGAGAGTGTAAAACATAACCATCATTTTGAGATGACTAATTTAATCCAACAACAATCATTCAAGTAGCTCAAGTCCAACAAGAAGGACTAAATCCAATTAAGGAGCCTTCAGTATGTCTCACGAGTAGGGATAGGAAACAGCTCAGGACAACCGCCAAGCCTTTCTACTAGGGACAAATATAAAACACAAACATAGACTCTCGGGTAGGAACTAAAGCCAGTAAAACCACACCCAAACTACCTCTCGGGTAGGGGCAGAACGAGACAAAACCGAGCTCCCAATAAGAGTAAAACCGAGCCGCAACCAAGGCTCAAACCCAGGCCACAATAAAGGTTAGAAACATCTTCATGCCCTCAAAATATCAAAATATAGGGCTACCACATGTTTCAAACAAGAATAGCTATGGAACTCTTCCAAATCAAAATAAATTTCTTCACAATATGCTTTTTTAAGTAAAAAATGATCATAAAATGCCAAAATTGAGTCCCTAGCAGGGGTTAAAGCAACTAAAACCGCACCCTCACACAGCTCTTGAGCAGGGTCATGAACAAACACCAAAAACAGGCTCTTGGATAGGAGCAAGCTTCAACAAAAACCAAAAGCCAAGTCAACAGAAATTAAAACTCTAGCCACCTTAAGGTATAATCGAGCCATCCAAAGCCAAGGAACAACCCGCATGCCTTTGAAACATCAAGATATGGAGCCAATACACATCTTAAATAAGAACAACAACATAGAGAATATAAGCATGAAACAATTTTCAACAGATATTTGATCAGGGAAGATGCCTAACGACTAGCTAAACTAAGCTCTCGAAACAAGCTACAGAGCTTTCCAAGTTAAATAAATTATCTCATAGCATGCATTTCAAGTAAGGGAAAATCACAGGAGCTAAATCGAGCCCCATACATGTATGAAAAGTAAAGCGAACTCTCTAGTATTCATTTTAAGCAAAGAGTAATAGTAACTAAAAGCTTTCCAGTGCATTCCAACATGTAATACAGAGGAGCAAATCTCATTTCAAGGCTACATCCATAATAATTCAAAATATTTCAAGCAGAAAAGGGGAAAACAACTAATAACATGCTCTATTTTTTATCAATTCAAACAAATAACAATAACTGATACCTAGAACATGCTCACATTTTCATTTCTAGATGCTTGAGTAACAAATATTTCAAAAATATAGGTGCAATATCACCCTAGCATGCTATACCATCCACGACACCAAGCTCAAGGGCTCGGCAGAGGGAAAACCGAAAAGAAGCAAGATACAGGGGGGAGAGAAGGTACCTCCTTAATGCAGAACCAAAGTAAAAAAATTTCAGAAAAGTACTTCACAACCTAAACTTCTCTCCAACAACAAGAGGAAACCGACCCAAGCACTAGGAATTAAAGAAGAAAGTGAGAATGGAATTTGACAGAGTTTTCCCTCCCTCGGAGATTTTTCGGCCCACTGAAATGCTCTAAGTAGAGCTTAATATAGACGGGAGATGAAGAAGGAGCGATCAAAAGATCGTGAATGGCTCGAGGAAACGAGCAGAGCAGACGCCCCATACGGGCGGCTCGAGGAGACAGAGGATGAGATCCTTGCAGGAGATAAGATCCACGACAATGATAAGGGGATGGGTCGTCTGCAGGATCGTCTTGCGTGCGCGAGGCGAGCACGGGAACGAGACTCCAACGGCACAGGAAGGAGCGGGACACTCAACCGAACGGGCCGAATTAGGGCTGAGACCCATGGGATCTAGAAATAGAAAAAGGGGGGGGGGTAGGAGATAGATTTAAGTTTAAGCGCGTCGGCACAGTCCGTTTCGTTAACCGAAGTCGTTTAGGCAACCTCGTCGACGATCGGAACAAAAACGCGTCGCGACCCAAATCCTGTCAAAATTTCGGTGTGAGCTCAATTAAACAGGACGGTGCAGAGTGCGACATTGCCAAATCAACGCGTACAGTTAATCATAAGACCAACAGTTTTATAGGGATTCTCATTGAGCTCCCTCTTAGTAGTCCCACCTACTAAGTGTTAGAGGTCAAAAACAACCATGCGGAACGTCAAATCGAGCGAAGAAAAACTCAAAATTTCTAACGGGGAGGGCTCATTTGTTAGTTTTCTAGGAATAGCCGACAGAAAAGTCCTACGTCTAGAACCTAAGCTATTAAAAAGGAGAGACTAGACCTACGCCAAAAGTGAGGTCAACACAACTCTTCGTCACACTCTTCCACATGCGTAGAAAGCGCATAAAGTAGTTTTGATGTCGAACTCCAATTTTATCACCCACCAGACCCTTCGCCTTGCAATTAACTTCTAGACGTTTCTACTACAGTCAGTAAGCAGTTCCTTACCCGATGTTGCGTTATCTCCCGCAGTACCGCACCCGTTGTCACCCTATCTCTTGCAATTTCGCAAAAATAAACACACGGACAGTTTAAATATGTAGATTTAGTATACACAGTGATTTCACTATAGCTGCAGTGTTCTTAATGTAAATATAGTGAAATCCGTGAAATTCACATGGGGTGGATTTTTGCTACTATTTTGAAGATTTTAGTCCTAGAGGTCATGTTTTGAAATTGAACGAGTATAAGTTCTTTTAATTTTTCTTAATAATTTTTTTTAATTAAGTGCAACTAGTTTATTTTTTTGTCTTTTAGTAATTATACTTAATATTTTTTTTGTACTATGGGACTTACGCATGACGCTTTGGGGCTTACGCCCTACGCGGTAACAACAAAAATGCCCTGCCCAATGCCCCGTTTTTTAAAACATTGGTTGGTGCTTAGTTCCTTGAGAATTGGGCAGTCACGTTACTTTAAGGAATCCTAGATATTTAATAACACTAGCATCTAATGACAACGGATTTGAATTATGGTCATGGCTATGTATGGTTTCCTGACTACTAGTTATTGCTAATTAGTTCTATTGACTGAAGGGTTTAAAATTAATTAGTTGCATATCATAATTATTTCCTAGTAAAACTTAACTATCCATATACCAGAGGCACTAACGAGTGAAGTGGAAATCATTTTTGGCAATTCTCTAGTAATTAGTTGCGTAGAGTTTAATTGGAAAATGAAGGTTTTGTAGTAGGGCGGGCATGTTTGGTACTTGTCAAAGAAGGGATGAAAAGGAATATTCTATTTTGGAATGGAGTTTGTTTGGTAACTTTTGCCTACATAAACAATCATATATGTGTATATATTCTATTAATTTTAATATTTTAGTACTCGTGAGTTGGTTCAGTTCTAGTTATTGAGCTTTGAGCTTTTCTTATATTGCAATAAAGACGGGTTTATATATTCATGCCAACTATGTTTTTTTATGATTTTCTGTCACCACCCATAGGTTTAATTTTGCAACATAGTAAAATAGAATTTCCTTCAATTATCCAAATATTGAGTTGGCACTTGGCAGCATGTGCAAGGAGAAAAGTGAACGAAAAAAGAGGATGGGACCCACACAGACCATTTTTCTTTCATGTACTTTGCATAGTGCTTGGAGTGATAAGTTTATATGACTAGCATTGCTCACATGAAAAACTTATGGTTCTTAATTGGAAACTTTCATTATAGTGCATCGCTTTTTAGATGTGGTGCCCTAATTGAAATTTACATTTAGGCTTCCATAGATACGGTGGTGAGTTATTTGATAGTAAAGTGTTTTTTTATTAGTTTGATTATGGTTTGATGATAATTTTTTTTCGAATTTCAAATTTCATGGTATTTTATATTATATTGCCATTAATATTGGAAGTCTGTTTCTGTTGGCTTTGACAGAAGACTCAACACTTGAGTTTTCAAATTTGTCTTCTCTAGTTTTTGATGTATTTATATATGAAAGTCTAAGGAGAAAACGATAAATAACTCCTTGTTAAGGCTATAAACGATCCTTAATCACACCCTGGCTTAAGATTGGTTAAATTATTTGACCTGGTCTGAAGCTGGGCCAAATTTGGTTATAAGTTGGCTTAATCTGATTTTGATTTGATATCTTGGCTCATTAAATTTGATGCAAGCTATATTCAAGCCAAGTTATTTGATTCAATTTCAATCAAGTTTTAGTCTCTGAAGACTATTTGTAGTCTAAAATATATATATCATTTTGATCTTGAGCTAGCTCGATTCGATCCAAGCTTGACTCAATTGAAGTTGAATTTGTGCTATGATTGGCTTGTTAGCTTGCTTATTGACTTTGATCTTAAGTAAAAATGTAATCAATTTTCAAACCAATTCACATCTCTACTTTTGTTATTGCTTTCAAACTAACTTATTGCCTTAAGTAAAAGCTTTTTTCTTATTATTAAGTTCTAATTTAATTTGTTTCATCTGCTCGTTACTCATATTGTGATTGTCAGAAGCTATTAACTTTCATGAAATTGAGCTTGGCTGATGAATGAGTTCATGCATTGGTACGTTTTTAGTTGTTTTAGACTTTTCATAATTATATTTATACCTTTCTGTTGTGCAATAATGCTTTTCAATTTAGTATTAAGAATGCCACCCCTTTCTTTTTGTCAATTTCTGAGCACATTGTTCTTGCAGTTAAAAATTGTGGATGGAAAAATTGATCGTGCTGGTGCAAGTGGTCAATTTGTTGCTGAAAAAGAGCAAAAGGAAGTAGCTAGAAATCATAAATCATCATCAATAATAGGTGTTAAGCGCCAAAGAAACCCAAAGTCTTCAAGAAATAAAAAATCTGTGCCGTCATATACGGGACCTAGTGATGGTAATCTAATTGAAACATATGACACCTGGTATATGTTTGGTCATTAAATTTGGCAACTCTGAATTTGTGTGAAGCTATTTAATAGTCCAATTATCGCAAACAAATATGATTCTCTTTGATTTATTTATTTATTAAGGCAATGGGTTTTTGAATAATCTTTTAGGGTTTTATGTTTTTCAGGCAACCCTGTGAGTGCTTTAAGCACCTGCCGTTATGACAGTTCTCTTGGTGAGTTGATTCCAAAGCGGACATTTGGGATGCCATTTACATAATTTTTGTTGATGTTACTCTATCTGATATTAAATATTCCATATAGGCCTGTTGACAAAAAAATTCATAAATTTGCTCCAGCAAGCTGAGGACGGGACACTTGATTTGAATAAAGCAGCAGAAATTTTGGATGTACAATGCTTTGAAATTTTACGGATATTATATAAACAATTGGAATGTTCAATTTTGGTTCATTCGTCATAATGATTGTTTGTGTATTCTTTTTGTGCACGCTTGGCAGGTACAAAAGAGAAGAATCTATGACATTACCAATGTTCTTGAAGGAGTTGGGTTGATTGTAAAGCAGTTGAAGAATCAGATACATTGGAAGTAATTGCGAATTATCTTCATGCTTTTGTTTGATAAAATTTAAATATTAATTACTCAGTTTATAGGGGGTTCAACATGTCAAGACCAATGGAGGTGGGGGCAGAAATTGCTGGCTTGAAGGTATATGGACTATTAAAGTATTTAATTTTCTTTTTTGAATAAGTTTTTTTTTCATCCACTTTGCATGCTTTATTAGTTCATTATAATCATTTTGTTGATTACACAGATGCAAACTGTTCATGTCCGACTATTGGAAATAATTTTGGCTTTTGTTTTTATTCAATACGAGTACTTCATGGATGAAAAAGTACTAAAGCTTGGATGAATCTCTTTTTTTGGGATAGTTGTAGTGTCAATGTGTAAATTTGATGTTGGACTTGCCCAATAACTTCAAGGGTTTTTTACTAACAAAATTAGCTAACACTCACTAGTTGAATCTCTTTGGAACTCTAATTTGGATTATATTTGTTTGAGTGGTGGCTTATTTTTTTATCATTGAAGTCTTAAATAGGGCCTATCGCAAAAATCATTAATAGAGGTTACCACAAAAGTTCTCAATGGTGGCTACCACTTAAGTCTATATTGGAAGTCTCCACGGTATGTTTTAATAGTGATTTATCAGTGATGTTTAGTGACTAGCTCTTACCGACATAAACTCATGTAATCATTTCATACAACTCAAAGCTTTAATTGTTTATAAATATTTGAGAGTTCTGAGAGCTCTAAGGTTTTTTTTTTTTTAGATTATTGAGTTGAAGGTCTATCATGGATTTAGGTAAATTGTTGACTAAATTAAACTCGTGTTCTTGTGCATATGTTGCTTTTTTTATTTTTTTATTTTTTTATTTTGGAGCTTCTACACGTAGATTGATATCAAAGGCCAGGTTGTTTTGTTTGCCTAGAAATCAAAGTGGTCTAAATTGACTTTTGATCACACTAGGAGATTGCCCTTATTGTTTGGAGTCCTACGAACCTAACATCATGCCAAACAGGCGAGGGGGATGGTCAAAATCTAATACACACGGTTTAACAAGTTACAGCTTTCTGGAACTTAGTGAAGACGAAGAATACCATCACAATAATTTAGGGTTTACTAATTTAGGGTTTACTCGTTAACATTGATTACTTTGGTTTGAATTAACTCATTACTCGACCTGGTCCATCTTGCCAACCTATTTGCCAGACTTATTCTGGTCCAAGCATAAAAATTCTTTTCTTATGGCTGATGAAGTGTCTAGTCAACAAAGTGAACATATCAAGAGATTGGAAATTAATAGTGAAGTGTCTAGCAGAGATCCCATGCAGAGGACCATGCTATCCAATGGAAAGTTCAAACTTAGTGGCGATAACAACTTTGACATGTGGCTAAACAAAGTCTACATATTTTATTTGCTAAGGTTCTCATATTACATTAGAATCTAAACACAAGCACATGCTGAATTCAATTGGAACTTTTTGCATTGTCAAATTTATGGCACAATTTGATTGTGCTTAGCAAATGATCAAATGTTCTCTGTTATGAAGGATACTAAGGCAACAATTCTCTAGAAGAAATTAGGAGACAAGTACTTAACGAAAGTATGGAGATTTGATCTTACTTGAATAAAAACTCTTCTTGTTTCAAATACAAAAAAGGTAATCATGTGATTTTAGCACACAAATAATTTCAATTATATTATCATTTATTTAGGGTCTGTTTGGGGCAGCTATATATTATTTATAATCTGCTGATAAACAGATTATCCTGACAATCTGATAATCTACAGATTATCAGGATAAACTGCTTCTTGTTTGGGGTAGCTTATTTGGAACAACTTATTTTCAGTTGTTGCTGGATAAATGACCATTCTGCCACTGTTTAGTGAAGCTGTTTGCAACAGAACTATATGAGTAAAGAAATAGATAAAACAAAAGTCGCAAATCATTACAGATCAGTTTAAAAAATATAACATAGAGTGCTTACTCTCTCGTGAGTATAAAAAAAAATATAATTACAATTATAATTAAAAATATTAAAACGTTTAATTTAAAACTTTTAACGACGTCTGTTCTCATTTGCACTTTTGTCCTAGGAAATCATTGTACCCCGATTACTGTTGACAGTGCAATATGTCAGAATGTTGGCCCAACGAAAGAAACTACAACAAGCTGAAACGTCCTTGCGACAACCGTAGAATTGTTTCCCACTGCTGTGAGTCCAGCTTGACGTGAGTAAGGGAGCCGGTAATCCGCAGTAACACAACACAACTCCAGAGGTCCCTGAAATCTAAGAGCTTATGTTGCTAGAGAGAAAAAAAAAAACAATTTTCAGATAAAAAAAATAAATTTTAGGTATAGCTACAGGAGAACCGAATTAAATGAAAATCGTATTGAACTAAAAAGCTAAAATAAATGTGTGCGGTCTCAGACAAACAATTACACCAACCCATGCGTCTTTCATTACAAGAAGATGGTGAGTCTTAAAAGAATGAGTTCTTGGTTGCCTTTAACCCATAGGGACGATCATACTGGGTTAAATGTGTCTATCACAAAAAAAAATCTTCCAGTAGATTCTCATATACCATAGCACTGAAAAAAAGAGAAGACATATGTTGCCTTCTTTATGATTTCACACGCAATACCAACATGATACATTCGCCCTGTGTCATATGTGCATATCACCAAAAAGGCATTCCACATATATACTCATAATCCGATGCACTCAAAAGAAGCGAGGATATCAGTTGCCTTCATTAGGAATACACATGCAACACTAGATAACAACAATGAACCGACCATCCAAAAGAACTCACAAGACCACATTTTTCATCATTCATCACTGACCTCACACACCCTCAAAAAATAAAGAAAAAACTAAACTAACAAATAAAAACAAATTTCAAACGTTACTCTGATATGTTCGAAAGTATAAAAGAATCAAACGAAATTATTTAGAAAATAATAAAATCTACATTCATAATAGAACGAAATACAAACAAAAAAAATATGTAGTCTAATAAATAAAGATGACTGAGTGAATTAGCAGCCACATATAGCATCTGTGATAAACTCTCTCAAAGCAGCCATTTCGGCTACACCTTCACCGTCTTGAGTTTTAAATTCATTCAACACTATCTCATGCTCATGTAATGAATGCCCAACCAGAAATTCCTAAGGGATGTCGGATCTGATTGAGAGGAATGTCGTCGGATGAAGTTATGAAGTGTCATAGTGGTCACCACAATATCCATTTGTTTGGGAAATGAATACGACGACATATCACGTAGGATGACCCAATTCTTTTTCTAAACCCAAAATGTTCTTTCAATTACCCAGCGTAAGGAGGAGTGACGTTTGTTAAACATTTTTTTCTTGCCATGGATGGTGTCACTTGCTCTCTCAAAATCAGAAATATGGTATCTGGTGTCCGGATAGAGTTTTAGGGAGCTCATCAGCATAGGATAACCAAAAACAACGAAATAATATTTCTCTATTATGAAAAACACTGTTAATGACAAATAATACATATAAGTAATAGGTTTACACAATAAAACAAACCTGAAGGTGGGTGAGGGAAATGCTGCATTCTATTCCTAGTTGCATAGAAAAAAAGACGACAGTCATGTGCAGTTCCTTCCCAGCCCGCCATTACAAATGTGAAACACCTGTCAAAGTCACATGTACGCGACCTTTTCGTGGTTGGGTAGTCGGGCATCAACGTGCGTACCATCGATTGCACCAATGCAGTTCTGTTTTTCATCGTTAGAAACTCGTTACATTTTGAAATTAACGTAACACACTAATAAAACTTACCTTGAAATATGACATGTAACGAGGATCATTGACAATTTGTTTATGAGTATTAGCGAATGATAAATTTTCTGGCTCAATGTTTTGCGCACCAATACAATATATGATGGTGCTGTCAGTGGGTGCATCAAGTGGCGGAGCTGCCAAATCATCAATCAGTTTATTGAATGAGTTTTTCACAAAAAATGTCCTTATTTTTCCTCGTCCTACAAAGCCTGGGCCTCTTTGATAGGGAACTGGACCTCTCCATCTACTTCTGGTTAATACTAGGCTCTTCTTCGTCAGCTGTCACCTGCTCAGTTGACAAGTCATGCGATATGCCTGCAAACCCCAACTCACTTGGGTTGAATGCATGCTTTTCAGTTGCGTCAACCCCCTTAAACATTTTGTCCAGTTTATCTTCGAACTTTGACTCAATTCCGTACTGCTTATATTTTTTGGCTGCCGGCATTGCCTGTAACATTGTATGGGAGAAGGGGGGTTTAAAGGGCTTATTAGATAAACCAAAAAATTATGAGAATAAACAAAATGAGAGTGCAATTATTACCTCTAATTTCTCAACTCACAATTCATCTGGAGCATCGATTATTCGCTTAATGAGATCCCACCCAATCCGGTATATTCACGTTTCAGCTCCTCTCAAAATTTTCACTCATTCAATTGATCTCATTTGTTTTTGAATTTGAGCCTGTCGTAATCCCTTCCGTCAATTTTTTGAACCTCTTCACAATATTTTGCTAATATATTTTTTTTAAAATACGCGCTTGGCCTATTTCCAAGCTTAATTTCCTTAATACAGAGATTGCAAAAAATATTCGTAACTTTCTTATTCCACACCCCTTCATTCGTCTGAGCCGTGTTGGAACTAAATGAAGAATTTATAGTTAAGCATATTAACTTAACATATAATATCGTGTTAAACTATTGTACAATAAGAACAAAATAATTCTATGTTAAAAAAAAACAAAACAGAGAACACTGCAAAAAAAAAAAGTGAAAACATCTGCATCATATATGCCTCAGATATGCCTAAGTATTTCTCTCAATATATGCCTGCATATATGTCTCATTATATGCCTAAAAAATTGTCTCAACATATGGTTGAGGCCTCAACATAAGCCTCATACATGCCTGATATATGGATAAAGCCTCATATATGCCATTTATATGCCTCATTTATGTTGTCAACAACATGCATGCTATATCTTATTGCAACCCTTCAGAAACACCAAAAAGCCAATCAACGACAACGGTGAGGATAAATGAACAAAGCATATTATTATTCAGGTGCCACCATTGCCTTGTGGCCGGGACAAATGTGAACAAAAAGC